TGATATTGGAGAGTGTGGATTCTTTTCTGCAAACCAGTGAAGCACAGAGTAAGACCATGAGACTCGCTCACACCCAGTGACAGGCAGCGGGGCTGTCGCAGCCTCCTCGTGCGAGGATGGGCCTTGAGAACATGGGTCGCAGAGGAGCAGAGCACAATGCACACTTTCTTCAGTTCCGTCAGCTCCTGGTGGAAGGCAGGTAAGAAGCAGCTGGGCCACACCACCCCAGGTTCTAATAAGTAGGATGAGCACATAATTTATCACCGAGTGTGGCACCTGTGAGAGGGGAAGGACGATAGGTGTGCACCAGGATGTGTGGTCGCCCTTGCACTGGGTAGATGGGTGAGGGCGAAGAAGGAGGCCAGGTGTGTAACAGAAGGGAACATCAAGAGTGGGAAAGCACTCTTCTCCCTCTTTGGCAGTTTCCGTCAGAGAAGAACAGACATTAAAGAGGGCCCCAAGAGCCCTGGCCGGTGTTGCTCAGTGATTAGAGCATCGGCCCACATACGTAGGCGTCCCAGAGCAGGCAGAGAGAGATGGCTGGTGCAGCAGAGATGACTCCTCAAAGCACAGCAGTGACTGAGGAAAAGGCAGGCTAGCAGGATGTAAGGTGGGGTTGAAGGGTTATCCCCAACAATCCTGGGCAGTGAAGCAACAGGAGGTAATGCCAGAAGGACAGGTCTTGGAACAGATTATGCCTGGCTGAGAAATGCAAACTTAGTTAGCAATGATCACACTTGTCATGTGCAAAGAAGGGCAGGGTCTCCTGAGAGGAGAGCCCATTGCACACACATTCATGTCCAGGATATTATAGTAAATTGCAGCTTATATGTGATGGGTGATGTGAATTTGTAGATTTCACTACAGGCTTCAACTAAAGTCACCCTCACAAAATGTACAATGGACTTAAAAACATCCCAATAAAGAAACTGTGATTGAAGGTTCTACTAAAATTCCAAAAAATAACAAGAAAATGTCAGCTGACCTACTTCCAGCCACTTTAAAAAGTAAAAACAAAGACAATACAATGAGTTTCAAGAAGTTGCCTAAAAAATAATTCCAACTGATATAAGTGATTCTTTGAAACATGGATTGATTTGCATTCATATTGTTAATTTGCATTCATATGTTAACAATTCACCTTTAACCAAAATATATACTATGTGTCAAATTATTAACTAACTAGAGGCCCAGTGCGCGAAATCATGCGAGACCCAGACATACCACACCACGAGACCCTTCAATGCACCTCCTGGTGACCAGTCATTTGGTCATTGCGGTGTTACCATCACTGGCTTTTTATAATATAGACTAGAGGCCCAGTGCACAAAAATTTGTGCACTCGGGGGGCGGGGGGAGGGGGGGTCCCCCAGCCCGGCCTGTGCCCTCTCGCAGTCTGGGACCCCTCGGGAGATAACGACCTGCTGGCTTAGGCCTGCTCCCGGGTGGCAGAGGGCAGGCCCAATCCCTAAGTGCAGCCCCTGGTCAGGCTCAGAGCAGGGCCGATTGGGGAGTTGGGGCGCCGCCCCGTCATGCACAGAGCAGGGCGGATCGGGAGGTTGCAATGCCACCCTCAGTCACGCTCAGGGTAGGGCCGATTGGGGGGTTGGGGCACCGCCCCCTGTCACACTCAAGGCAGGGTCAATGGGGAGGTTGCGGCGCCACCCCCTGTCACGCACAGAGCAGGGCCAATCAGGGGGTTGGGCACTGCCCCCTGTCATGCACAGAGCAGGGCCGATCAGGGGGTTAGGGC